ATTACACTTAAGTATCAGAGGGGTAGCCGTGTTAGTCTGAATCTGCAAAAGCGACGAGGAGTCCTGTGGCACCTTATAGACTAACTGAAGTGTAGGAGCATAAGCTTTCGTGGGCAAAGACCCACTTCGTCAGATGCATGCATCTGACGAAGTGGGTCTTTGCCCACGAAAGCTTATGCTCCTACACTTCAGTTAGTCTATAAGGTGCCACAGGACTCCTCGTCGAAATTACACTTAGTATATTATCAAAAGCCAGCACCCAAAAGCTTCTTTAGCATGTAGTGTGTCAACAGGTTGACAAGAACTTGACATGGTTAGGAAAAGGGAGGATGTCTCTGGGTGTCCTTTTATCCTAAAACAATGTATGTTCTCGTGTAGTAAAGTATGAAAGAGGAATTGAGAAAGGAATACATCTGTATAGCACAAAGTATTCTGCTATGGACAATAACAATGAACAGTTCTCTGGCAAGTAAGGCTAAGTCTACACTGGGAAAGTTTGGTGACAAAAGTGCTATCAACATGCAGAAGTCGCCAAAAGAGAAAACCTGTCAAACTGTGCTGAGGAATGTCAAAGCAGGACAGCAGTTTCTCTAGCCACCCCTGCAGTAGCAGTCTACCTGCTGTTGTATTTCTAGCAAGGCAGATCGGGAGTTCGAATGATTAGTTCTTTTTGTTTATTCCCCAAACAGAGCAGCTTACTCAGCTGACAGACACTCACCAGAGCTTTGAAGAGGGAGGGGCACATGCCTGCAGGGCAGCAGAGGTCACAAAACACTGAGCAGAACCATCCGGGCAAGCATTATAGGATATTAGCAGAAGCCAGTTCTCTCAAGAAAACAAACAACGAAGTCCACACTAGCTCTTTGTCAACAACAAAAGGAGGGAAAAGACAAAAGTTTCTCACAGGGGTGAATATTTTGTGTCACCAAAACTGGGTGCATTTTTCCTGACAAAAGTCTCATTGCAGCATAAACGCTCTCACTGTTTTGTCGCCAAAAGGCAGGTTTTGGCAACAAAACATGCCAGTGTAGACAAGGCCATGGAATTTCCAGTGTATAAGCTTTCATGGGTAAAATCCACTTCATCAGAAGAACTGGAGAGGCGTTTACAGATACATAGATAAATATAAGAACAACAAAAGACAGAGAGTACTTGTGTAAGAGGCTGATCAAGTCAGGGTGAAAGTGGCTCATTCACAGCAGTTATGTGTAAATGCAGATATTAAGAGGGGGAAATTGGCAATGTTATGGTATTTGCCGCTCCCCAGGATAATGAGATAATGCAATATTAAATAATATTAAATACATTACCTTTAATGGAAACATGACTTACAAAATATTGTGACATCATAAAAGGAAAGATACACATTTGTTGATCTGAATTCTTAATTTGCCAATTCCATCTTCCCAGGTCATATCTGACTATAAGCCTGATGTACTGGGGAATAGACAGCATGCAGTAGTTCAAGTCAGCAAAGGCAATCCATGTGAATATTCAACTATTTTTTCCCATTTGCAGCCAAGCTTTGTTTCCATTGGCTTTAATAACAATTACTCAGAATTAATCAGAATTAGCCAGAACTGCAATACAATGATGCCCTCTACTGACGCATTATGGCAAGCACTCACAAGAAAAGGAAAGCAGCAGTAGCAGCATTTCCTTGCTCTTCTATACAGTTTATATGGATGAGCCATTAAATAAGATTTTGAGTGACATGACAAACTCAACTAAACTAGAGTTGTCAAGCTATGTGTAGTTCTTTGAATAATATATTTTAGTGGGCCTGATGACATAAAAGCAATTGTGATTTTAACCTGCAGCCCATTACTTCAGTTATTCTCTTAGGAACAAATAAAATGAGGAAGTTCCCAGAAGTGGGAAGTCGAAAGCAGACAAGGGAGAAGGAAAGAACTGAATCAATGGGAGCTATTTGCTATACCACACCTCTGAAAAAAAAATCAGGCTCTTTTATTTAATACCTAAATAGGAACCCACCTGCAGGAATTCATTTTTCAGAAATCCTGGCCAAGGTGCCTGACATTTTACAGATGTCCAAAGGATCTGCTTGAGAATCACGTGTGCCCCAATTTTCTGTCATCTTGTAGGATGCTTGTAGATTAATCTCCTTTTTGGATAGTCAACAGACCATATGGAAGTCAGACGAAGAAATAAGGCCACCAAGATTACAAGAAAACTCATTTTTGTGTTAGTCTACTACAGTGGTCCCCAACCACTGGAGGTTGCCAGGCACCAGGGGGCGTGGCCATTCACCCGCCAGGCGGCGGGGACACTTGCACGCCCGGGGGCAGGGCCCCCCCCGATAGTCGCGCGCCCAGGGGCGCTCCCCCTCCCCCAAGGGCCGCGTGCCCGGGGCCGGCGCTCCCCCGCCCCCAAGCACCGCACGCCCGGCGCTCCCCTGCCCCCAAGCGCTGCGTGCCCAGAGCGCGGGCAGCCAATCCGCAGTGCTCCCAGGGCTGGCGCTCACCGTGCGCCATGGGCCTGGGGCCGGCTCCGGCACCATGCATGCACCACGTGCCCAGGGCCAGGCCAGCCCTGAGCACTTGGGCGCACGCAAATGCCCCCACAGGCGCCATGGCGCCCACGGGCACCGTGTTGGGGACCACTGGTCTACTGGATGAAGGAGCTGTTAAGACAGTCCACACAGACCTTACCTCAGATGTTTAGAATGAGAAGTGAAAGAGAATCCTGTAGCCCAGTGGTCCCCAACGTTTTGGGGCTGCCAGGCGCCTGGGGGCGGGGCCGCTCACAGGCCACGTGCCCCAGGGCCAGCGCCATGCTTGTGCCGCATGCCCAGGGGCTGGCAGTACCCATACGCCATGCACGTGGGGCCGGCACAGCCCTTGCGCTGTGCACCCAGGGGCGGGGCCACCCATACGCTGTGCGCCCAGGGGCCAGCATCGCCCATGCACCACATGCCCGGGGATGGGGATGGCCCCAATCACTCAACAGGTGCACAGAAATGGCCTGGCAGGTGCCATGGCGCTTGCGGGTACCGCGTTGGGGACCACTGCTATAGCTGAATGGAATTGCAGAGGGATTTTAGGACGGCAGAATGGGTGGAAGCCACACAGGAACTTGGGCATTGCAATGCTAAGTGTCACAGCATTTAAGTTTTAGATGCCAAGAAAAATCCAATCCACAAAGCCCAAACTAGGAGTCTAGTTAGTATATGGGGAGAGATAGGCACCAATGTGTTAACTACAGAGAGGAGCCAGCAGATCCAGAGATGTAATTAATCCCCTTTATTCGGCTTTGGTGAGGCCACATCTGGAGTATTGTGTCTAGTTCTGGGCCCCCCACTACGAAAAGGATGTGGACGCATTGGAGAGGGTCCAGCGGAGGGCAACCAAAATGATTAGGGGGCTGGAGCTTATGACCTATGAGGAGAGGCTGAGGGAGTTGGGTCTGTTTAGTCTGCAGAAGAGAAGAGTGAGGGGGATTTGATAGCAGCCTTCAACTTCCTGAAGGGAGGTTCCAAAGAGGATGGAGAGAGGCTATTCTCAGTAGTGACGGATGGCAGCACAAGGAGCAATGGTCTCAAGTTGTTGTGGGAGAGGTCCAGGTTGGATATTAGGAAACACTATTTCACTAGGAGGGTGGTGAAGCACTGGAATGGGTTACCTAGAGAAGTAGTGGAGTCTCTATCCCTAGAGGTGTTTAAGTCTCGGCTTGACAAAGCCCTGGCCGGGTTGATTTAGTTGGAATTGGTCCTGCCTAGAGCAGGGGGCTGGACTTGATGACCTTCTGAGGTCTCTTCCAGTTCTATGATTCTAAGAGCCTATATTAACAATCCACAAATGAGAACCTAAGGTGTTTCCCAAGGAAATGAGTTAGGCACCTGCTTTAGTCCACAAAATACAGACAGAGGAGATGAAGATGGTACTGCACACCTTAACATTTAGCCCAGTGGCTAGAACACTGATCAAGGATGTGTACTAGATTCAATTCTCTTGCCAGAAAAGTGCTCTAATGCCAAGATAAAAGTTACGAAGTGGGCACCAGCACCACCTCTACCTCATCTGCGTTCCACTCCCCATTGCTGGGTCCTTCCTTACTCCAGGCTCTCTAGTGATCACTAATGTCCAGGACCTTCATTCCACTATGTCTGCTGAAAAATTACACACTATCCTAAACAAAAAGAGGTTTATCACTAGTATTTGTAGACTGTCATTCACAACAGTTAATCTCAATGCAAGTTTATCACAGAAGGCAAATGGACACAATAAAACATATGGTTATCTATTGATTTGCCCCAAATTCACGTGGTATTGCATCTGTACATTTACATTTAGTGCTATTTTCTAAACACAAAGATAGGAATGTAAACAGTTCAAATTTGATTAGTCTGCCCACAAATTTTAGTACTTCATAACTGCATTCATCTAGATTTCCAACAACATGAGTGAGATAGCCAGGAAGTCTTCTAAAATAATATATGTACTTTTACCTCTATTACAATGCTACAGAACTAGAGTTGATCTTCAAATTCTTTTATATGTATTCTGCACTACCCAATAACCATCTATTTCAGGAAAGGTACCAGCTCTGCTGTTCCATCCCTGAAACAATCCACATAGCAGTGCTCATGTATTCACCAAAGGAAACTATACACCAAAGTTTTGAAGAAACTTCTTTTAGTTTTCAGATTTAAAGATTTTGAAAAAACTTCTTTTAGTTTTCAGATTTAAAGAAATGCATCTACTGAATATTGGAGTAATTCAGATATCTTTTTAATTAAAATAATACTTTGCTAGAGGAATGCAAGAATAGACTTTAAATAAAGACTACAGTCTCTATTTCTGAAGACTTCATAGTTAAAAATAGCATTGCTTAACTTATTCCTTATTTTTCATGCATATGTATTTCAAGTAAAATCAATGAAAAGCAAATCTCATCCACTTCTCATGTTCTCAGGCCACATTCTCCATTCTTACATGCTTAAGTTAAAATGATCAACTGAAGTGTCTGTAAATACTTACCTCTCTGACTGACAACTGTGGTGGGAGCGATACAGAAAATACAAAGCTAGTAAACTGGTAGTCAGAAGAATTAACCTTCTGGCACACCTACAAGAGAAAGATATGAACCCACAATAAGAGCGTAAAACTGGAAACATTTTATCATATTCTTTATCTTACCATAATCACTGCAAACTTTTATAACAGGACTCTTTGGCATGCATTGCACAAATCTTTTTTCAATTTACCGGAAAAATTCCAATAGCTATCTGCATCATTTTTAGACATTAAAAGTTAGTAAAGTTTGTTCATGTCATGCTTCTCTGTATAATACCATTATCAGATATTTTCTAACCCATCCTGCAACTATGGCTAGCATATGGTGAAAAATTCATAAACCGTAATGTAAAGCGCGAGTAACTTGCACATTTGATTAACCAGCTATCCCATTACCCATGAATACCAGATAACAAAGCTTGTACTGTATATTATTATCACTGTACAGTAAAACTCCATTGGTCCGGCATCCAATGCTCCGGCACTCCAGATGGTCCGGCACCATCGGGAACCCGGAAGTGCTCCGGGCAGCTGGACAATTGGAGCTGCTCTATGCCCAGCTTCCCTGATTCAGCTGCTGCTGAAACTGACCAGCAGCTGAATCGGGGAAGCCAGGGGCAGAGCAGCTGGGGGGCTGCCAGGTTGGTCCGGTAGCGTCACCCCTCGGCACCGCGGGACCAACCCCCGCGCCATCAGCTGCTGCTGAAACTGACCAGCAGCGGCTGAATCGGGGACGCCTGCGGCACAGCCGGACTATCGGAAGGGGGAGTTATGAGGGGTCTGGGATGGCATCCCCCCCTTCCGATAGTCCAGCATATCTGATAATTCAGCACCCCCTGGGTCCTAAAGGTGACGGATTATCAGAAGTTTACTGTATATCCTCAGTGTAATGCCACTATAAAAGAAACAACTAAATATTTTATATTGAAGCTAATCATAAAAGTCAGACTAGGCTTGGCAGAATTGGATTTTTTAAAAAAAACCACAAGTTTAGTGGATAATATAGGTGTTTATAAAAAAAAAACACAAGTTTAGTGGATAATATAGGTGTTTATTTAAACTTTTTTTTTCTAATTTTTAGCAATGTTCAATGTTTACAAAATTAGGGGGAAGAGGGAGTCAGATAATCATAGAAACACAGAGTTAGAAGGGACTGCAAGAGCCATCCAGTCTAACCCCTTGCCAAGATGCATTCTTTGTTGCAACTGAACAATCCAAGACAGAGGGTTACCCAGCCATGTTCTGAAAAATCTCCTGTGAAGAAGATTCCATTATCTGAATCAATTTGCCATACACAAGGCACTGGTTAACTTAATAAACCTGGCACCTTAGTAAAATTGAATTTTGAACTCCAAATCACTTTGCACTAATGGCCACATTGTTTAACATCCAGTTTTGGAAAAGTACAGCAAAAACATGGTAATCTTCTAAAATGTTAACTTAATGCACAGGCTATGATTAAAAGATTTTTTTTAAAAAATCCTAATACATTCATTACGTGTGCCTAAAGCCTGACCTAATTTACTACTGTAACTGCTTATAGTACATTAATTTTATATTATTGTTCATTTAAAAGAATAATTAAGAGGAATATTTCAGAGCAACACTTGGAAGATATTTAATGGCAGTAGACACTACAATTTAAAATATTAAGCTTTGTAACTATTAAAATACAAATTATCCATACCACAAATATACAAAGCAAATATCCTTGAATTAAACTCTAAGGGTATGTCTATACTAGCTCGTTAGTTCGAACTAGATAGGCAAATGAGGGCAACCGGAGTAGCAAATGAAGCCTGGGATTTAAATATCCCGGGCTTCATTTGCATGTTCCCGGGTACCGCCATTTTTAAATCCCCCTTAGTCCGAACTCCGTGCCCGCGGCTACATGTGGCACCGAGTAGGTAGTTTGAATTAGAGATCGTAATTTGAACTACCGTTATTCCTCATTCCACAAGGAGTAACGGTAGTTCGAATTACGATCTCTAATTCGAGCTACCTACTCCGTGCCGCGTGTAGCCGCGGGCACGGAGTTCGGACTAAGGGGGATTTAAAAATGGCGGTACCCGGGAACATGCAAATGAAGCCCGGGATATTTAAATCCCGGGCTTCATTTGCAACTCCGGTTGCCCTCATCTGCCTATCTAGTTCGAACTAACGAGCTAGTGTAGACATAACCTAAGTTCTCAAGTAGCATTTTCTTACTTTGTTTATCTGTAAATTTAGATTATTATTAATTGACTTTTGTTTGTTGATTTATGTGTATAGAGTAAAATTGACATTTACAAAGAAAGACAATCCAATCCTTGCAAGCCTAAATAATGAAGGGAACAATCCACAGACGTAGAAGAATGAAACATATATAATTTATTCCCTCTTTCGCTGTTGTAATTCTATAACACAAACGCAGAAGTCTTTAAGATAGTGCACTAACAAATATTTTATTACTTTGAAGATCATGAATTAACTGAAATAAAATACTCTTATTTTAAAAGCAAATCCCTACACTATCGCAAGCTTAGTGTGTACGTTTTACAACTATAAGAGACAGCAGCAGAGCTCAGATTTCTATATTTGTCACAAAAAAAGAATAAGAAAAAAAAACAAGAAAAAGGGAGTTACTCACCTGGTACAGTAATGACTGTTCTTCGAGGTGTGTCCCCCCCCCGGCAAGGTGCTCTATGTAGGGACGTCCCAGAGCCATAGAGCAGAGCTTTTCAAGCAGTGTCTGCGAGCTGCGCATACATGAGGGGAGCCTCGTACTGTGCTCAACTTGGTGCCTCCTGCATGCGGTTTGGTCCCCCCCTTCAGTTCCTCTTCTCCATTCAAGTAATTAGGACTCTGAATAGAGGGGAGGAAGGAAAGGACACACCTCGAAGAACAGTCGTTACTTTATGAGGTAACTCCCTTTTCTTCTTCGGGTGATGTCTCCGTGGGTGCTCCATGCAAGGTGACTTGCAAGCAGTATCCGACATGATGGTGGGAATTAGAGTTACTGCTTAGAGCCTGTAGATAGCACCGTCATAGCCAGTGCTGAATTCGCAGCCAATTGTGGCATAACGCCTAGTGAACGTATGGTCTGAGGACCAGGTGGCTGCCCTGCAGATGTCTTCAAGGGGTACATTGGTAAGGCCATTGAGGTTGCAGCTGCACGGGCAGAGTGAGCCTTTGGAGGAGTTGGCAAGGGCTTGTTGTGGAGGGCATGGCAACCTAGTATGCAGGATGAGACCCATTTGAAAATACATTGTGTTGAGATAGGTACGCCTTTTGAGTGTGATGCGATGGATATGAACAAGTGTGAAGATTTACGGAATGACGGTGTTCTATCTATATAGAAAGCCAACGCCCCTCATATGTTGAGTGTGTGGAGCATGGCATCCCTGGGGGATGTGTGAGGCTTCGGAAAGAACACTGGTAGCACTATTTTTTCGTTGATGTGGAAGGATGTGCAGACTTTGGGTAAAAGTGTTAGATGTGGGCGTAACGTGACTTTGTCCTTAGCGAAGACTGTATATGGCGAGTCTACCATGAGAGCCCCTATTTCAGCAACCCTTCTCGCAGAGTTGATGGCTGTAAGGAATAGCACCTTCATTAGTAAAAACTGAAGTGGGCAAATGGCCAAAGGTTCAAAAGGGGGCCTCGTGAGACCATCTAAGACAAGATTTAGATCCCATGTAGGGGGAGGTGCCTTGACAGAAGGATAAAGATTTTGAAGACCCTTCAGAAACCTTCGCCTTGTGAGATGCGCAAATACGGATGAGCCGTCTGTGTGTTCATGAAGAGCTAATATAGCTGCAAGGTGTACCCTCATGGAGGGATCTGATAGACCCCCGGATTTGAGATGATGTAGGTACTCGAGAATCTGGTGGAGCAGTGTGAGGATCCACATGGGATAAGTGACACCAGACTGAGAATCTTTTCCATTGTATGTAGGTAGCCCTGGTGGATGGCCTTCTGCTCTGTAGGAGGATTGCTTTTACGCGATCTGAACGTAGGGATTCCATTCCTTAGAACCAGAGAGGAGCCATGCATGTAGGTGAAGCGTCTGCAGTTCGGGATGGAGTAATCTGCCCCTGTCCTGAGACAGGATGGGAGAGGTTATGGCGTGGCTGCAGACATTACTTATTCCAGGTAAGTTTTTTTTTTTCTTTTGAAACAGGATGAAGCAAAGCTTCAACATGCAGTGAAGATATAGGGAAAGCAAAACCGGAGGGTTTCTCACTCTTCCTCAGGAGAAGCTGAGGAAAAAGAAGAGCTTCTACTGAGGACAGTAGAAGAGGAACTGGAAGGGGAGAGGGGGCGAGCTGTGCGCACAAGGTGCCAACCTGAGCACAACATGAGGCTCCCCTTGCACATGTACAGCTCGCAGACACTGCTTGAAAAACTCTGCTCCATGGCTCCAGGACGTCCCTACACCTTGCGTGGAGCACCCATAGGGACATCACCTGAAGAAGAACCCTAGCAGGCAGATTTTGCCTTTCCTGTCTTCCCCTTTTTTACCCAGATACAGTATTGTTCATAAGTACAGGATATATGGCCTTTGCCTCCTTTCGCAGGCCTCACACACTGAGCAATGCCAGGTGCACAGGTGAGCTCCTTCCATAGGAGGCATCTATTCACCTCATATAGGCTCTCTGTACTCTCCGCTGCCCCT